CCCCCCCCCGCCTTGACCCTCTGTGTTGGACCTTGCGTCTCCGTTGCCTTCCCGTCGGGGAATGTGTTCCCACTCTCCCTCCCGCCCTTCTCGTCCTCAGGAGTCATCGTACAACAGCCCGATCCAGGTAGTCCAGGCAGCTAGGGAGGACTTGATGGAACGGAGGAAGGGCAACGGCGGCGGCGGCGGCGGCGGCGGCTACGGAGCGGGAGTGGCGGCCGCACAACACCACCTCACGCGGCCAGACGATCCCATCACCGGGGAGTACCTCAAGATGGGCCTGAAGGGATTGACTGACAGCAGGTGATGAAGACGCGAGAAAGTAGCGAGGAAGGAAAAATATGAACAAACTACAGTAGGGGAGGGGAGGGGGGGGGGGNGGGGGGGGGGGGGGGGGGGGGGGGGGGGGGGGGGGGGGGGGGGGGGGGGGGGGGGGGGGAAGACGGATATTTTAGGGAGGGCATGGAGGGTGTTGGTCAAGAGTTTGGTCTTGCAACCCTTACATGCTTTCCCGGCCACCGCGGTTGCACCCAAGGACTGTGAGTTGAATTGGATTGGTTAGCGGGAGGCCTGGGGCGGGCTCTCCATGAAATTTGTTTGTATAGTCGGTGTTGAATCCAATCCCGTGCAGTACCCGGAACCCCCCCCCCCACCCCCCTCCCTTTTCCTTGCCGCCCTCTCATTGACGAGAGCGGAAGCCTTGACACCTATCCTCTGCATTGTTGAACCGGCGGCGATCCAATGGCACTATCCTCCACCCGCCATCCCTCCTCCTCCGTTCCGCTGTCTCGCTATTCCTTCCTCCCCCCAGCAGCATTGCAAGTCGCAGCGGGTTTAACCGCTGGAGGTCCAACTCGATGCCGCTGCAGTGCATGCGCACCAAGAGCGCGGGCGTCCTCGGAGCTTCGCCCAAGCTTCCGCCTCTGGAACGAGACCTGTCCGGCGTTGGCGGGGCGGGGCTGTACGGAGGAGGCCAACGGGGCGGAGAGGGAGGAGGAGGAGAGTTCGGGGCTTCCGGTGGCAGGTTCACGAGGGGTATCACCTCCGCTCCTTCCACCAGCAGCGCCGCTGCGCAGTACAGCAGCAGTCCCTTCGAAGCTTCTGCGGATCCGGGTGCCATCGAAGGCTGCGGCGGGGCACCGGCGGCGGCGGCGGCGGCGGCGGCGGCGATGCGGGGGTGTTTTCGTCCGGTGGAACGGACGGCGGACCGGGCCGCCGGCCTGTCCATAGCGCGTCCCTCGGACCGATCCCTGGATTGGTCCGCGGCGGCAGACAAGGGGGAAGCGGTGCTCCGTAGCCGGGCTAGCCTCGCACCCATCCGCGTAAAAAGGGCACCGAAGGCAGTGGCGGCGGAGGCGGCGGCGGGGCTGTCGTTGACGGCGTTAACGATTACGCCCTCGGTTTCGCTGAGCGCGGCAGGGCTCGCCAGCGGCGGCGGGGCGGCGGCGGCGCCGTGCGGTCTGAGAGGCACGCCTGGTGCTGGTACCGGTAGCGGCAGCGGCGGCGGCGGTCGCAAGAGCGGCTTCCCCTCCTGCTCGACGCCGGGCAGTGCTAGCAGTGCCGCCGCCCTCGGCGGAGGTGCCCGGGGCCCACACCACGCGTTCGTCTCCGGGTCGCCCTCGAATCGGCTCGATCTCTTCCCGCTGGGCAGCAGCAGCAACGGCAGCGGCAGCAGCAGCAGCAACCGCAACCGCTAGCGGTAACGGTTGGGAGCAGGAGCAGCAGTAGCAACGGGCGGTCCCGGTCCGGCGTTTTTTTGTGTCACGGCAGCAGAAGAAAGGGCAGCACTTTATATATATATATGTCGTCCGATCCGTCGCACCTCTTGTATGTTCAATTTGTGTGTAGAGTCCATCATTCATCCGATGTTATTCCACAGCACTTCTTATAGTAATAGATTTTTTTAGCTTGAGGGTCCATCCGGTGTTTTCATGGAAAGGTTTCCCATATCATAGTTTTTTACGAAAGAGAACGTGTATTTACGTGTAAGGGAGAGTTGGAGTGAGAGTCGCAGGGAAAACAGGAAGACACAGGAAGTAGCTGTTACAAGCAAGCACGGGGAAGGGGGAGGGTTAGCAAGCCCTTGGGTCCTCTCTTGTTGGTGGGCTTTCTCTTGCTGTGGTCGGATGACGCTCGAAATGTACAACAGAGTGGTTTGGGGGGGAGGGGGGGGACTTGGGGCCCCATGTATTTGCGATCATGATGTGTGGGGGAGAAGGGAGAATGACACTAACTTGTATTTGATTGGCAAGAGACGGAGGCGCACTGACTGCAATGTGTGGCAACCTCATGGGGGGTACGAGGGGGGGGGGGGGG